GATCGATCCTCGGGCATATTCCACCACCCGCCAGGAATCTTCCTCTAGCCTTCATCAGAACAGTACTACCTATATTCCAAAAATACACCACTGCAACTGCAGCCTGCAGGTGCTAGAGACTGAACATCCTACCAAAGGTATCTGAATTGAACTAAAGCGGTACAATGGCGACGTGACAGAGACCAACTAAAGCTACAAAGATGAAGCTACATCACTATTCATTTAGCAAAACCCTGTGGAGGAGGAAAACACATTTGCAAGCAACAAATGCTGAAATGATAAACTAAAAGGCAAAGCTATATGTACAAGCTGCAGCTGCTGGTGAGGCCTTTTTTTTCTTTTCTTCTGGCAATTGTCATGGCAGCATACACAATTACCTCCTTTTCGTTTCTCTCATAATTCTTTGGTCATAAAAACATGATGGGCTTTATTTCTGTACAATACAACACAACCCTCTCGCGACAGTTCGGTGTGATGTATCCCGGGATCATTTAGCAAGCACGTGCCTCGGGCATCCGACCAGCAACAGGCCCAGAGACACCGGATACCTTCAAGGATGCGAAGAGGCAGGACAACCGGGCGATCATGGGCCTTGACTTCATTCTTGGTACAATTGCCAATTCCTTACCGGTGCTAGTAGCACCATCGTCGGAGGAGCTGTGGTAGCCTTCAAGATCTGCTTTTGTAATGAGAACCTCATCCCCAGATGGAGACCACGTGGTAGAAGATAACCGGCGTGAGTTGCGTCTGCTGTATTCTTGAACAGCCTGCATATTTCCAAGGAAAGATAAGTAGAGTGCAGAGGTTGTACAGTGAACCCAATCTTACCACATTGCCCACAAGATGTTCAACCATCCCTCAATTATCACTTATCACCCTTCTCTAGAAGCTCAACCTCCCAACATAATTGTAAACAATGTGATGAATTACCTCCCACTGCGTTGGAGCTAGCAACACTCTAGGTCTTCTAGACCTCACGTAATCAAGGGCCGCACCAGGTGTCATGTGCTTATACTTTACCTGCAAACATATAAAACGACACTAATAAATGTCATAGCAGGCAAGAGCGGTCAACAAGGGAAGCTCGATGTAAAACAGCCCTTACCAAATAGCAGAGCACAATGGTTGTACTCCTTCCACGCCCAGCTTTGCAATGAACGTAGGTAGTTTTGCAACACAATGCATTCTCTGAAACCCAGATAGAGAAGGGATCAAGTTTAGTAAATACACAATAACCAAACAGAATGGATCCACGGGTACTTCAACAAAACTTTACTCACTGTGGATGAAGTCTACTGCCAGACTAATATCCGCAAAAGAAGGGGCAAAGAGATAATCCCTTGTTGGAATTACTAGATGTTCAATTCCATGGACCTGCAAACACGTATAACACAAAAGCAAGCATGAGAATTCGTAGGGTTTGGTAATAAGTTACGAAGAAAACTTAAAGGTCTCTTCCAAACAGGAAGCCACACAGCAGCTTGTTTGCCACTTTACTCCCGTGGCATGGCACGATTAGATGGCTGACCAAACATCAGTTTCCCCAAGTATAGAATTGCCATTACTTCAAAACCGAAGCAGATTGTAAACAAAGAAATTGAAGGAAATTCAGACTAATACATCCAGGATGGCGGCAAACAGACCTACATCGAACCACAAGCACAAATGGAGCAGTTGGAGGGTAGAAAATAACCCACACGATACAAGGCTGATGGAACCAAAGTTTCGTATGGTTCATTGAGAGTGATGACTCCACCAACACCGAGCTTCTTCAGCCGAGGAACATCCTTAGGAAATGGGACGGCACCCAGAAGTAGATACTGCAGAAAAAACAACGAAGAACACACTACAGGTCACAATACTAACCAAAGAAGAACAAAAGCTCAAATCAAGTGAACAATTACTCTCTACAGCTACAAGAAGTAGCCATCTTGAATCCCAACAACCAAATTTCAAGCTGGGAAATTGGCAGCCCAAATGACCCAGAACATCAATCAAATTTATTTTCCTCGGCAGTGACGTGAAGACCATCCGGCTTACACAAAGAAACCCATTTGAACACGGAAAACAAATTCTGGAATCAGAAGTTTCTCATCAGAAGCTAAACAACTCTTTCAGTTTCTAAGCTACCAAACACTAGATAAACCAAATAAAGTGACAATAAGAAATCACCCAAACGGTAAAGGCGATCTATCAACCGATCGCAAACTTCCATCAAGAACAGAGCAGCAAAAGAGTGAGAAGAAAGAAAGGGAGGAAAGATCAACCTGGTCAACTTCATCCCACCACCGGAACTCAGCCTGGATTTTGTTCCGAAACACATTATAGAAGAGCGTGGGGTAGAAAAGAATCCGAGCACCAACTCCAACCAGGGCTCTCTTGGCGTCAACCCTAACAATCTGGAGCTGCATCTGCTTCTCGTAGACGCCGCCTCGCTCTTCATCTCTACACTCCGGATCGTCCAGCTCCTCGATCTTCATTGCTCTCTCACTCTCGAATCGAGACCTCCAGGTAAAAGTAGCCAACCAAAAGTCCTGGCGAACTCGAACACGAAATCGCAGGAAATCGGGTCCCCGAAAGGTGGAGCGTTGAATTGTATAACGGGAATTGAACTGAGAGCTGGATATCGCAATCAATGGAGGGAAAGGATCGGGAAAAGATAGATCGGTGGGGGTGATGGAAAATGGAAATTAGGGATTGTGGAGGGATCGGGGATTAGGTAGCGGAGAGAGATGGATTGGGATTTTTGGGAGAGGAAAAGTAGCTGAAAGTGAAAAGTGTGAAATTGGGGAAAACTGGGAATTCAATTTCTCGTGGACTGGAGAGAGAGTAGGGATGGCAATCAAATCCATGGCCGCGGGTATCCGACCGCCCCTGACCCAGTCAACGCGGGGAATCCCGCATTGACTGGCTATGGGGCGGGTATGGGTAAAACCCGCAAAACGTTTGATGGGTATGGGGCGGGTATGGTTTTAACCTCCCCCGCCCCATACCCATACCCATACCCATACCCGCCCCACTAAGAACATTTCTTCACATATAACAAATATATGAATAAAATTGTGATATATGAATGATAGTGAGGGTACCTCAAGAAAATAAATATTAGAAATGCAATTGAGTGACCACCCAAATCAAAACATAATTCCTTTTCGTCAACTCTCCCTCCACTCTTTCACTTTTCTCCTCGTGTTTACTAGATTATGTTAGTTTGTTATTAGTTAGTAGATGTATCGGAGTCAGAGAAGAATGATTTGTATTACATTATATTGTACTCTATCTTATGGATTAATAGATTGTTTAGGATAAGATGCTTTGAATCGTATAAAGAATGATAGTCTTTTTGTCAACTTCACGATAGTTAGTGCGTTTAATGTTATAATTGAGAATGTACATTTAAAATTTTAGGTATTATAATGTCGGAGGTACGGGGCGGGTATTACCCATGGGTACCCGAAACCCACGGGTATGGGGATGGGTTTGCAAAACCTTCCTCCGCATGGGTATGGGGCGGGTATGTGTATAGATATTTGATAGCGGGTATGGGGATGGTTTAGGCAAATCCGCCCCAAACCCGCCCCATTGCCATCCCTAAGAGAGAGAGAGTGGAGGGTAGAAAGAAAAATAAAATTAAAAGGATAAATAATTTGAAGTGACGGAAATGCCCTCCCTGCTGTAGGATATTCACGTTGTGCCACTGCTGCCTGGTGGCGGTTAATAAGTTGGGGAAAAAACGTTTCTTTTTCTGAATTAACAAATGGAGAGGTCTTTGCTTAAAAACGCAGCGGGATTGCCGCGGCGTTGTTGACGGTGACGGCGACTAGGGCCGAAAATTGGCCCCCGACCAGACCCGTCCCTGATTCTGTTTGATTCGTCTTTAAAGGTCGACCTTAATAAATATATTACTTTTCTAAAAATTATAATTTGGTACCCAAATTTATTTTTCTTACATTTTAGTACCTATATTTTATTTTATTTTACAAATAAGTCCCAAAAGTTGATGATAAAATTACGTTTGGTATCCAAAAAAAATTACAATTTAGTACCTAGATTTTTAAAACTTTACAAATAGGTCCAACGTGTTTTTATGATGCTAAGGGCATAGGGTCAAAAAGTGACCCGACCCTAAGCTGACCCTTTAGACAAACTGACCTAGCCCGACCCTGAGGGTCGGGACGGGTTAGTGGGTTTTAAGGGTCAAACTTACACCCCTAACGGCGACGGGGGTATTAGTGAGGTAGGTAGGTAGGTAGGTAGGTAGGTAGGTCCAAATCCTCCAAATGTAACGACTAATGAGTCAATTTGTATACATATGCATTCGTATAAATTTCTTTATAGTACAAAAGTTCAATATTATGGTACAATTCAACGTATATATGAAAACATTGATGTTTATATATATTGTAAAATTCTTTGTTTTAACAGGTGAAGCCTCTCGTTTTTTAGCATTCTCTTGCTAAGTGAGTGCCTCTATCGATACATCTTAACCTAGGGTGTATTAGGGGTTTGAGTTCAACGGTGTATTAACCCTCGGGTTATTCATGTCCTAATCTGTGAAACATTCTCAGATTTGAGTTTAATCCGGAACTCGATATTTAGATTTAGATGTTATACCCTTTCAGACATTAGACATTCTCGGGTTTCAATTTAACTTAGAAGTCAATATTTAGATTTAGATTAACCCTATACCTCGAAAGATGACGTATCTTCGATTCGATGGTAGCCTACATTGCTAAATCACATCCGAAGCATTCTGCTACCTACTTCAAATCCAACTAACCATTTCATCAGTCTTTCAACACAAGGATGTGGACGGCAATGAACACAGTTTGGGAAAAGGAGCCCGAGAAAATTACAGAAACTAACTGAAATTGAACACTCCAAATCCACTGGTTCTGTGGTTTTCATCCACAATTCTATCTTGAAAATATCACCATTTGTCCATTTCCACCTCTTATAAAACCCCACCTTAGCGGGAAGCAATCCAAATGCCAACCACCCCTTTTCACTCCTCCTACCAATCCCAATCTTTCCCTCATCGTCTCCCCTGTTTCTCCTCCGCATTTTCTCCGACCACGTCCGACGCCGGCGATAAAGAGAAACGCTCTGTTAAAAGGGGGTTTTTCTTTATAACGTTCTCGTGGTCGTCGCCTGGTCAAAGATTGGCTCCGATCGCCTGCTGTTGACTGGTACAGGTCGTGCTATTTGGTGGGAGCTCAGGTAAGGGGGAAAAGCTTACCCACGCCTTTGTTCTTTTACTTTATATTCTTTCCGGCGATTGCCAACTTGCATGCGACCGAAATTTGAAACTGGGTTTTCTAGAATTAGGCTGTTTGGAGGTTTCTATGTAGAGAGGCAACATAGATTTTCTTTTTTGTATCCTCGAAAGTTGATTTGATTTTTTTGTATTGGGATAAAATGATGGAGAAATCGATTCTGTGGCGGATTCAACGATGCTCCTAATATGTACGATTGAAGAATCTGGTTCTGAGTTTGCGAAGAAACTAATAATAATGCAAAAAGAAAAATGGGGGTCATTGTAGGTTGTAACAAGAAGCGCCTTTCGGGACAAAGATCAAATCTTTACATGCTAAGGCATTTCGCATGTATGAAATTTGGGGATTCTGTTCTTATTCAATGCTTGTCTGTTGATTTTGTGATTGCGCTGTAGTGGGAACATTGGAGATTCATGCTTGCATTATTCACATTATAGGTTGCTTTGAACTTTTGATTCATTCTGTTACTCATTGTCATGACTCATGAGCAGGCCTTCCAGCAATCAGTCAGGGATATGAGGAAGAGATATTGATGTACAGATAAAAGTATTGCTGATACTGTGTTATAAGTATAACTGCATTGTTGAAGATAAGATTTCACAAATCACAATGGAGCATCGATCGGCATCCCCAAAACTAGAGAACCTAGATGCTCCTCTCCACTTGTTAGGGTTTGAGATCGAGGAATTGTCACCAAGCAAAGTCGCGGGTCGCCTTCTGATAACGGAAAAATGTGTGCAGCCTTTCAAGGTGCTGCACGGTGGAGTATCCGCGTTGATGGCAGAGGCTTTAGCTGGCATTGGGGCGAAAATGGCATCAGGTTATAAGAGGGTTGCTACCATTCACCTCAGCATTAGTCATTTGAAGCATGCTGATCTCGGGGATCTTGTTGTCGCTGAAGCCGCTCCTGTCCATGTTGGCAAAACCATTCAGGTTCGCATTTTACTCGCTCCTTGCTTCTTTTTAATCTTCTATCTTTATTTTCCATTTCTATGATGCGGATGCTTGGCCTAATGAACGTTGACCTGGATCTTTATTAGTCTCTTTGATCATCACATGAAACTTGCTGACAAATCTTTGTGGAGATTGGTAGCCCTTTGGCTTGATCTTCTGCTCTCTATATCGACTTTTTAATCGTGCATCTTGATTGGTAGAAACTGTCCCTGTTTGCTGTAACAAAGCTAGGGAATGAACGTTTGTTCGATTGCAAGTGCGGTTCTAGCTCACATTCTATGTGTTTATTTGATGATAAGCCCTGAATTACTTTGGAGCTCCACAACAGACCATATCTCTAGCATTTGGTGGCCTTCTTGGAGCAGAGATACTAATGATATACTAATGATATGTGTTTACTTTGTTAACCATAAACAGGTTTGGGAGGTGCAAATTTGGAAAGTTGATCCTTCGAATTCGGACAAGAAGTCTTTGGTTTCATCATCCAGAGTCACTCTCTTAAGCAACATGCGGGTGCCCGAACATGCCAAAGGAGCTGATGAAAATCTCAAGAGATATGCTAAACTGTGAAAAAAACATGTGCGTACTGTATGGTTAAGGCCTTATTCCATGTCAATGATGCATTATAATTCTCGGTATTATTAATAGTTTTAGTTATTGTTTAGGAATCGTATTAATTATTAAGGTATTTAAGGTAGTTTCTTTAGGATTAAGTTACCGTATCCTTGTAGGATTGGTAAGTGATTAGGTTTTCCGTTTCTCCTATAAATATGTACTCGGTTTCTACGTTTTAAAAAGTCAATGAAGAAGAAAACCCCTAATTTAGTTGTTTTAGTTTATTTATCGTTTTTGTGCTGCGATGCTTGATCCGTCAATGCATCAATTGGTATCAGAGCCTGGTTCGAGAGAACCGAGCTCGCTGCTGCAGCTCCCAGGGCAGACATCGTCAACGTTCGACCACCAACGTTGGGAAGAGGTCCTGCGAGCAACTACGACACCGCCAAAGTTCCCAGGACCGACGACAGGAAGCGTCCGACAGGAAGCGTCCACCAGGAATTGTTGGAGGTCACGACCTCATCTGCTGATGTCGCCGCCGTTGCTGAACGGGGTGCGAGAAGATGCATGCCACCGCTGGAACCGCTCGACGAGCTGTGTGACGCGAAGATCCCATTCTGCACACTAACAGGGGGTCACCAATTCCGCCCCACTACAATTCTCAGCTCAGCTCATGGACGAGAACGTCATCGCCCTTGTTGACGTCTTTTCTTCTCACAATTTTGTGAGTGCCGAGGTCGCCAGAGCCATGTCCTTGACAGCCACACCGATTCCACCGTTTCGGGTCAAGGTCACCAATGGAGAGTCCCTCGGCGTTGCTACAAAGTCGTGGACCTCACCATCCAAGGCGAAACCCCCAACGCCGTAGATCTGTATGAGCTGCCGATCAAAGGGCACGACGTGGTCTTAGGCGTTCAATGGCTGAATCAACTTGGACCGACGTATGTCGATTGGGAACGGCGCAGAACCGGGACGATGGGTTGACTTGCAAGGTTTGCGCAAGGAAGCACAGGAGGGCGAGGCTAGCGAATTGCTTGAGGAGCTGCCGGCCATGGCCATACCAACGCCATCCACAACGAAGCTGTTGTCGCCACACGCCAAGACAGAAGACGAAGCTGATGCGTCTCATCTAGCCGCAGCTGCTGTCCGCCATTGAAGCAACGGGAGTCAGCCACTGCCGAGAAGATGATGGTGGCCAAGACATCGCCGCCGTTGTCTATCGTTGCAGGAAGCTCCACCCGCTGTGGGCGCCGCTGCCGCTGACGCAAGGTTGATTGGGCTGCTTCCTCCCAATTGGAAATCGAGGAAGAAGCTGAAGGAGGATGGTTTCGAAAACAACGACGTCATGGGAAGCCCAGGCATGGTTCGCGGGCCGAGTATGGGAGGATTGGTCGGCGGGCTGTTGTATGGAGTTGATCCGGAGACTTCCAGTGATGGTGATCTTATGGTGAAGTTGGCGGATTGTGATAGTACTATAGTCTTGGCTCAAGTTGGGGAGCACGGAAGGGAGATTCAAGCTGCTGCGGCGAGAGCGATTAAAGCTGATGGCAGGGTTGATTTACATGAAGAGGATGGGGTATCCACTGTCGAGCTGAATCAAACGCAATTGCCGGGGAGAGCCTATGACGGGTTAGCTATTGAAAATGGGAGGGGTTTTCTCCACGTTGACGCATCGGGGTATTCATTTCAATTGCTGGAGGAAAGCGATTGCCGTGGCATCAAGATAAAGGTGTCATGGTTTTTCTCTAGTCTAGTGGTGGGTCATTGCCTTTCAATAATATTAATTAATTACATTAATTGGATTGGGGCACCTACGGTGGAGACGAGGAGGAAGCTGGATCCTCCCAACCTGGTTAATCTGCTAACTGGTCATTTTGTTAGTATATACCAGCCTTCTAAAAGGCGCGCCTAAACCTACGCCTAGGCTTAAAAAGGCGCAAGGCGCTAGGAAAACGCCATGATATTGATAATTGCGCTATAAAAAGCGCTGGGTCCGATTAATAGGTTGGAATAACTATTAATGGCCGCCTAAACGGAAATAAAGCAAGCCTAGGCGGTGATGAAATGGGCCTTGGCGCGGGTCAACAATTCTGGGCTTGGACCGAACTTTTTGATATCCCATCCCATTCGACCCTCCCTTGTGCGTAACCTGGTAAGTGGTAAGTCCCCTGACAAAAAAAAGAAGGAATCACCTCTTCATCTTCCTTTCCTCCACCGGCCGACTCTAGGTTAGAAACGAAAATTGAGTTGCTGCCTGCTGCGCCTTCCTTCTCGGCCCGCCGCATTGAGAAGCTGGTCGTTCAACTCAGTAAGTACCTATGTCTGAACTTAGTTCTGAAGCTCGTGCTCTCAACATCAATGGTTGCCATTAATCTCGTTTACTTGCTTGGATGATGTAACAGTAAAGCCTGTAAAGTAGAGCTTCTTTTTCTTTCTAAAAAAAGGAGTTTCTTTTTATATATGGAAGATGTAGATTCTTGTAGAATGATTCATTCCTCTCCAATTGAGTAGGTAGCAGTTGTACATAGTAGTGATGGGGGTTAATGTCCACCGATCATTGCTTTTCAAAATCCACAGATTTCCTTACTGTAATGCGTCTATGTATAATGTATATATATATATTTATTTAGGCTTCATCATTGTCATAGATTATCTTTGTATTGCATGATAGATAGACATAGTAGTAGTTGGGTGGGTTTTCTATACATCCAAGCCATGCAATAATGGAGTACGTGTGAGGGCTGTGAGAATGATGGTCTTTTAATTCCTTTTGTTTAATAACAAAATCCACTCAATTTCACTAGCCAAAGGAGTCCATGTCGTGTTTCTAACGTGCTCTAATGGGGAACAATTGATTTGTGTTTCTTGCGCATATTAAACTTGTTTTATGCCATGATTTTGTTTCGTTTTTAGTAATGAATGAAGAAAGCTCTATTTTTGTGTTTCTAACGTGCTCTAATGGGGTCATGGATGCTTATTTTTGTCTCTTTTAATTGATTGGCGATTCCTTTCATAATTTGAATTTTGATTATTGTTTTTTTTTAAATAGGTTCTGTTCTATAATGGACATTGCTAGTGGTTCGGCACCAGGAGTGACAAATGAAGAAAATACCAATGCCTTTAAGAGGAAGTCTGGTGATATAGGTTGGGAATATGGAAGATTGGCGGATCCAAAAAATAAGGAGAAAGTGCGGTGTAATTTTTGTGGCCATGTAAGTACCGGAGGTATCTCTCGATTCAAGCATCATATTGCCCAAGATTCAAGTTCAGTGCTTAAGTGCCCGAAGGCACCACCAGAAGCTAAAGAAGCATGCTTGAAAGCCTTTGAGAATACAGCAAAAAAGAAGAAAGAGAAAACTGCCCGTGAACAGGAGTTAAGAGATGATGTGATTGTTTCCTCTGGTCAACAAGATGAAGAAATGACTTGTGTTGGTAGTTCAGAACCTCACAAGTTAGGACCCATAGATAAGTGGACACGTTCTATTGATCCTAAGTTGTCTTCAGCTGCATCACTTCATCAACAGAAGTTAAATAAGGCACTTTGGGAAGAGAGAACACTTCAAGTTCAACAATATGTTGCAAGATGGGTGTATACACATGGTAAGCAATATGCACTTATTATATCTACATTTCTATGAAGTTTTTTTTGCAACCTACAAGATTAATTTATATTCCAACTTGTGATTTTATGTTACAGCTATACCATTCAATGCAATTGATAATGACGAGTTCAAGCAAATGTGTGAGGCTATTGGTCAGTTTGGCCCAGGATTTGTGCCTCCTACTCAATATGATCTCCGAGAGCCATTGCTGAAATCAGAATATACAAGAACAAAAAGCTTGCTCAGTGATCGTGATGATGAGAAGATGAGGAACGGCTGTTCTATTATGACTGATGCATGGACAGACATGAAGAGAAGAAGCATAATGAACATGGTCACACATTGTGCTGAGGGAACAAGCTTCATCAAGTCAAAAGACACATCGGATGTGTCACACACAAGTGAAGTCATCTTCAACCTAGTGGACAAAACAATTGAAGAGTTAGGTGTTGAACATGTGGTGCAAGTTGTGACGGACAATGCTTCCAATAACATGGGAGCAAAGAAGCTCTTGTTGGAGAAAAGACCAAATATTTTTTGGAGCTCCTGCGCAACTCATACCATCAACTTAATGCTTCAAGGAATTGCCAACTTGTCAAAGTTCAAGAAGGTAATTGACCAAGCTAAGAGTTTCACTATCTTCATTTATGGGCACCATCGTACATTGGAATGCATGAGGTTCTTCACCAAGAAGAGAGAAATCATAAGACCAGGAGTAACCCGATTTGCTTCTCAATATCTCACCTTGCAAAGTTTGATGGACAAAAAAGATGCACTCAGGAAGATGGTGGTGGATAGGAAGTGGGAGAGCTTGAAAGATGCACACACAAAGAAGGTCAAGGAAGCAACAACAACAGTGTTGAATGCATCCTTTTGGAAAGGTGTACACCTTTGCTTGAGGGTTTTTGAACCATTGGTAAAAGTTCTTCGTTTGGTTGATGGTGATGTGAAACCATCTATGGGGTTTGTTTATGGTGAAATTGTGAAGGCAAAGAGGGAGATCAAAGAGGCATTTAGTAATGTGGAGATTCGCTACAAAGAAGTTATGGATATTGTTGACAAGAAGATGAAGGGAAGACTTGATGCTCCATTGCATTGCACTGCATATATGTTGAATCCACACTACAGTTATGCCGATGAGTCCATCTTTGATGATGGAAACATCACCAAAGCATTCATGGATTGCGTTGAGACATTTTACAGTGGGGATGATGACAAGCAAGATCAGGTTGTGAATTATGAATTTCAGAAGTTTCAAAAGAGAGAAGGTGCCTTTGGGAAGAAACTTTCAAGGAGTTGTCAAAACTTCGATTACAATCCTGGTTAGTACTACACTACTACTTCGTATCTTAGACTTCTTTCTTGTTATTTTATGACTCTAATGTAGTACCAAATTACCAATATATTTTCTAGTGGTTTGGTGGAGAATGTATGGAGTTGACACACCAAATTTACAAAAGTTGGCTATGAGGATTCTTTCATTGACCTCAAGTTCTTCTGGCTGTGAGAGAAACTGGAGTACTTTTGAATCGGTATGTATTTGAGTCTCAATCTATACTATATTCAATTATTCATATTTCATATTCTCAATTTGTCATGCAATACGATTTTGTACTTGTAGATACATACCAAGAGAAGGAATAGGCTTACAACAGATCGTCTCAATCAATTGGTGTACATACAGTTCAACTCGAGGTTGATGGCCAAGAAGAAGAAGATAAAGGAGAAGAAGAACGTTGATATTCTCTTAAGTACTGATGCAACTGAAGCACAAGGCTTCCTATTTGAGGGAGGGGATGACCATGCTATGTATGTGTTCGTGGATGAGGATGAGGAAGCACATTGCACACCTTCGAGTACTATTATTGATGCAATCATGCAATGGCAGGTGAATACAGTGAGCTTCACAGAAGTGCACGAGTGAGAGAGCTCCATGATGAAGAATTCGAGTCTGAAGAGGAGGAAGATGAGGAGGACGGTGAGGAGATTACTTTTGAGGATGACGAAGATGAAGTCGTGGCTGGACGAACCTACTTGGATGATGAAGAATGAAACTTTTCATTTGAACTTATTGACTATTGTTCAGTATTCAACATTTTCTGAACTTGAGATTCTAGGAAATGGTCATTATTTGCTTGTTATTTGTTATGTTAAGTGTTAAATATTGAGAACGAGATGTTTCTAATTTTATATGAACTTGGATCATATAAAATATTCCACAAAACAGGAAATATTTGAAACTTGTTCCCATTTCTGCTCTGAACGCCTAGTAGCGCCTAGGCTACGCTTAATCGGGCAAGGCGCAAGTCAGGAGCCGAACGCTCGCCTTACGCCTAGCGCCTTTTTGAACCTTGGTATATACTAACTGATATCCAATAGTGTATGAACTAATACCCAAGTATTTGTGAACTAAATAATTTGGGTAGTTGATCGGTTTGGGCTCTGATACCATGTTTTAATACTAGACTTACTGATTTAATAATTTTACTACTAGACTTACTGATTTAATAACCTTTGTTTAATTTTGTTTAAGCTAGTTATTATATCAGTAATTAATTCGGTTTTAGAGATAGTTTCTTCTAATGTTTCTGTGGTTCCAATACTCATTTGTTTTTCTACAATTTCTGAGGCAAAGTAAGTCAATTCTTGTATGACTGTACTGATATAATTTATTGAGGTGAGATTTATAGCATCTAATCCTTCAATTAATTTATTTATATGATAGTTAGTAGGCATATTTAGATTTTATTCTCTAAATTTGCTATTGAATGTTGCAATTTTTCTAGCTTATTTATTACTTGATTATTGGTTATCTCTTCAATTAATTTATTCACTTGATTATTGGTTATCTCTTCTTGTTCTAAATTTTGTTCTATTACTGGGATATGCCTAATTCTCTCTGATTGTGTTTTAATTAATCGTCTTTGATCTTGGGTTATCGATGGTCGACTAGGTTCTATTCTAACAGTCTTTAATGGTGCTTCTAGTTGAATTAAAGGTTTAAATAAATCTTTTATAGTAATTACTTCTTTATTTTTGAAGGTTAAGCTGTGGTGACTATTTGTTAATGCATAGTTTATTTGATAAGTTACTGAAAATGGTTTGCTATTTTCTTTCATAAAATTTTCTCTTTTTAATTCGTACTTTATAATGATGGAAGAGTCGAGATTACCATCTGCCAGGCTTAATCCTTGTTGCAGGTTAATATCAAATTTAATTATTCCTACTCCTAAATTTCCCGTTCCTTTAGCAATAATACTTTCTTCTTCGTTTAGGAGCCTATCATCACGAATTTCTAATTACATTGGTGCGTCAATTCCTATTTTCATGGTTGATTTTAATATAATTTGAATTGTACTAATATGAATATAAGCTATTTTATTCCGTTCTTCTAATCTTAGTTTAGCTAATCTTTTTCTGATTTGTTCTTTGTTTATTACTTGGATTAGGAAATCACCCTTAGTTTGATCAATAGGGACTGCTACTTCGCCTATCATTTTGCCATATTTAATAATATTTTCTCTATCGAAGAGTTTTGATAAAAAAGACTTAGTGATAAAGTTTTGAGTTTCTGAAATAGTAAAATTAGTTTTTTCTCTAATTTTCTTAATGTCTATAACACCATCTAAGAAGTAGTTTTCATTATCATTTTTGTTTAAATAGTCAAAATAACTTGAGGTAGGATTATCAGACATACCTGACTTGCTTTTCTGATGAAATTCTGAGCCTTTTGATGATCGCTTGATGATTGTAGCTTCTTTCCGTGCGTTTGATTATATTGAAGATGATTGTGGCCTCCAGGATCAGTGGATCCAAGCCTTACAACTAGCTAGCTAGAGGAAGAGAGTAAACAGGCAATTTTATGGTCAAACTCGTTCTGCCTTATTTCATTGAAAACTCTTGCTCTTATATAGAGCTGAGAGGAAATACAAAGACGTCATTGCTTACGTCTGTTAGACAGGGATGTAAAGCTAACACGTCAAAAGTGCGTGAAACGATAAGAAAAGCTGATAAAATACAATAATGCACGACTTTTTTAAAGGAGTCGGCCAACCTTCTTTTGTCGCTTTATTCCATATTTGTTTGATTCCTTTTTCTTCACATGCTTCTGTCAGTCTTGGTCTGCTGGTCCACTGATGTCTTCGTCAGTTGCTGCACACCACTCACAGAGATGGTCTTCATAGATAGTAAGCTCATTGCATAACTGTTTCTTGATTTGAATGGGAAGGGCTGACAGATTCCCATTAATTTCCGTGAATTCCTTAATTTTATCTGTTATGATTGCCCATTCTTCTTTGGTCATGTTTCCTCTTGTTTTGTTGGTGATGATGGCATCGGGGCTGCTGTAATTGACTTTAATCTGGCTTTCCGGTTCAATTTTGGTTAATGCTCTGCATACTGCAAGAAGACCCTTTACTTGGTAGTCTGGGTTCTTCTCATAGTCTCGTAGGTCATCTCTGGTAGGGTAATCATGGTTTGATACTCCCATGAGGATAACTGCCTTTGATCCGATCAATAGGTTGTCTTGATCGAATACGGGGTAGCTGCTTGTATACTTGAGAAATATTTCTCTTTCCTTGGCAAATAGCTCGAGATATCTTCTGATTACGTTCCTCATTCTTTGTGGGAAGTATTCAAATACCTTCATGGTTGTAGTGTAGATAGTGTCGATTAATCCATATTGATGGAACTCAAAAGAGAGTTCTGGTGATGCTTCTTCTGTGATTACTGCTTTGGGTCCTCCTCGACTGACGGGGTAGAAACCCATGGTTGTGTGTTTTTCTTCATAGTTGATTATCATATCCCAGTTGGATATGAACTTCTGAAAGATTGGTTTTAATTGCTCTTCTTTTTCCTTGGTGGTTAGGATGCTCTTGATACTGGGAATCTTCATGACGAGTTTCTGCGATTGTTGCTCTTGATTGTTGGCTGGTTCTTTCATTGCCATCACCTTGTATGATTGTCTATATGCTTCGTCGACTGTTTCTTTTGTTTTAAACGATTGATGTTCGACTGGTTTGCCGTTGATGTGCTGGCTAGCAATGGCCCAGTTATGATATACTCCTCGGTATGGTCCATTAAATATGACATACCACTTGCTGCCTTTTCTGTCGTCTTCTTCATAGTGGGAATCTTTTGTTTCTTTTTCTTCTTGTTCAACGATGTCTGCCCATCGTGTCGTCTTTTGTATATTATTGCTGGTAGTGGTGGATGATTGTGTTGCTGTCGACTTTTCTTTTTCAGCAGGTTCTGTGGTGAGTGTTGATGGCTTTCCACTAGTGGAGCTAGTTGTTAGTGTACTGACATTGATGTAGTTGATTTTTAACTGTTGCTGAATGACGTCGATTGATTGAATTATTGCTTCTTCCTCCCCCCTGCAAAGGAGAAGTTGTTGTTCTAGTGCTGCACTCTTTTCCTGCTTCTGCCTTAGTTGATTGATGAGGGTTTTTATGAATCTTTCCATTCTCGAGTCAGTGTGTCTGTGAATGGATTGTTGCTGGACTTGATATACTTCAGATAAGGATTGTAATAATGGAGTTGTTGCTGCCACCTGATTAATCTCCCTTTGTTGAAATCTGCCTGAAGCTTATACCTCCAAAAACCTGTTACATATTTAGAGTCGGTTTGAAGTTCAAACCTTGTAGATAATAATTCAAGCTTCCATTTTTTCAATGTTCTGAGACAGGCTAGTGTCTCTAATTCGTGGATCGGATAGTTCTGTTCAGTGGCGGTAAACGTTCCAGAAATATTTACATAATTTCTTAGAATATTTATCACTGTTGAAAGGAACTGATGTTTGAGAACTTGAAAGTTCAATAATATTGTCCGAAGACTGATAATCTTTAGGCTCTTGGCCAGAGACAGTAGCCTCGTTATTGTCTATTTTGACATTATCAAAATTGTCCATTTGTAATAATTCCTTACCATTTTGTATTGCTAACATACACCCTGCCCAAGTGTCCTTAGAGGCATCCGTTTGAATTATTAGAAAATCATTTTCACAAGGGTTATATAATTTTGGTAAATGCTGTCATTTTTCCTTCATTAATAAAACTATTTTTGTATCTTGATCATTCCATGACCAAGGGATTTTGTCAGAAATCTTTTTTTGTAAATGTTTTCTCTCTTTTGCTAAATCTTTTAAAAATCCTTGTTCGCTTATATAATTTAAGTATCCAAGAAAACGTTGAATTTGTTTTCTATTTTCAAGTTGGTTTGGGAATTTATCGATTTTTTCTTTAGTGTTTGGTGACAACTCAATTTCACCTAAATTATTAATCTTCATACCAAGATATTCAATTTCTCTTTGAAGAAGTTTCGATTTCTTCTTAGAGATAATTAGACCTTTTTTCTTTTATTCTCTGTAAAACTATCAAGATTTTTTCACGATGGTCTTCTTCTGATTGATTTGTGAAAATAATAATATCATCAATGTATGCTATACAGAACGATTGAAAACCTTCTAATACATGATCCATGAATCGTTGGTAAATAGCTGGTGCTTGTTTCATTCCAAATGGGAGAACATTCCATTCGTAATGTTTTTGTGGTGGACATGAAAAGGCTGTTAAAGGTTTGGTATTCTCATGTAGACGAAGTTGCCAATATCCAGATTTAGCATCTAAACTACTAAACCACGTTTGACCTTTTAATCTTTCTAATATATAGTCTTTCCTAGGTAGTTTATAGCTATCTCCTATTGTTTGTTCGTTTAGTTTTTTTTTATAGTTTATTACCATTCTTCTTTTTCCTCTTTTGATTTCATTATTATTTTCTACATAAAAGGCTGGTGCACTGTGAGGACTTTTACTTTCTCGTATTATACCTTTTTCAGCTAACTCTGAACATTCCTTTTGGAATTCTTCTACATCTCGTTGAGTATATTGAATTTTGTTAGGGACATTAACTTCCATTTTAGGATCTTTTAGTTTAATTTCGATAAGTTCTTGATTGGTATTTTTATCTTTATCTAAAGGATGTTCACTACACACCTGGTCTAAAGTATCCTCTAGAATGCTATAGGTAATCTGTATATATTCTAGTCTATTTTTGAGGTTTTGAAGTACAATTTTTAGCACTTCATTTTTTGTGATTATTCTTGTTGTGATTATCTTAGATTCTTGGTCTATTGTTTTAGGACATCTAAGGCTGATTGTTTTAATCCTTTGGATAAATGGTTGATATAATTTTAGAAAGTTATTTTCTATTATTATATCTAGTCCTGAGTCATGTTGATAGATTGTTTTAGCTGTGAAGATATGTTTTTCAATGATTATTGGTACATATTGTTTTACATACCAAATTTCATGGATAGATTTGTCTGCCACTATAATTTTTAAAGGTTTTTCAAGTTTATCCCATTTTTTTATGGTTGATTTTTTGGCAAAACATAAGGTTGCCCCTGTATCAATATATGCTAAGAAGCTTTTCTTCTCTATTTCAATTTTAAGAAATGTTGCGTTAGGATTGCCCTTAGTTAATACCTTCTTCTGACTCATCTGAAGAGGTTTCTGAGGTTGAAATATATTCAATCATTTCTATATCGGAAAGTTCAAAATCTGTTTCTTCGATTGGTTCAAAACCACAATCGTAAGCTAATCTAAGGACTTCTTGTTTTCTAGTGTTAGTATTTTTTTTAGGACATTTATTTGCGTAATGTCCTTCTTCGTTACATAACCAACATCTACGATTTGTTTTTCCTTTAGGACGGTATTCTTGTTGTCTTGATTTTTGTTTAAACTGTTTTCTATTTCTAAAATATTTATTCGGTTTTCTAAACCTATTTTTTCTATATTCTTTATAAGGTATTTTTCTCCATTTTTTATAATTTCTATATTTTTCCGAGTTTTAATGATCTTACGATCATCATTACACTCATACTTTCCAACTCTGTCCATTGTTTGTTCACAACAGAGTTTAATTTTAGCTTGTTTCTTTAGTTTTTCCTTATTGCAAGCTCGTTTATGCCATTCTTGTAAAACTAATATTCGTCCTCCTAATGTATCTGGTATTTCTTCTTTTGCCAAAGTTTCATTAAAGATAGCTTCAACTTTTTCATAGACATTAGGTGGTAATTTAGCATAGAGTAATTTATCTAGTTCTTTTCTTATCGAAGGGGTGACTTGATAATAGTGTGTTCTGAATTCACAAATAAATGGCTCTAAGAAGCACATGTTGCAGATTCTAAGATTAGTTAAATACCAAATAGCTTGTTGACTTACGGTTGTGTTTGGTTTATCTTCTCGAGGATGTCGTCCTAAGAATTCATGAGTTATTGCATTTAAGACTTTTTCAAAGGTATACGTCGCATCCGTTGTTCCATATAACGTTGTCTTAGTAGGAATATCCATGTTGTTAAGATAATGATAAACTGCCCCAGTTGTTTTATATATTAAGAAATTAAACATTTCATTAGGGTGTAATTTCTTTAGATCTTCATTCGTTTTTATTAGTAATCCTGTTCGATTTTTCCAGTCTTCTAATTCTTTTAATGGATTGACGCAACAATCAAGATCTAATATATCAGGACTGTTAAAACTAGTGGTGGAATATTTTGGTATGTAAGATTGAGGTATTTTACTCCATCCTCCCCCTTTGCGAGGTGTATACGAATTTTTATATAAGTATTCATCAAAAAATAGTTGACCATCTTTATAGTCATTAAAATCACGCTTTCGTGATGTTTCAGCTTGATCCTCAGTTTCAGTTTTTGTGTAATTTGTATTTCTGTAATTTTTATAGGGGTTTTCATCGCTACTATAGTCAAGAACTATTTTATCGTTTTCTATATTTTCTTCTATCTCTGGTTCTGATTCAATAGTAATTGCGGCTAGTAAATCGTTTAGTTTATTAATTCGTTCGTCAATACTAGTCATAGAAGTTTGTAGGGTGCCATGATAGTTAATGGGCTAGATTTTCCTGATTTATGCTCATTCAAATATTCTTTTATATCTTCAATTGTAATGCTCCTTTTATTATCTAATTTAATTATTATTTTTTGAAGTTTAATAATGATTTCCTTAAGATCTTCTACCGGTAATACTATTTCCTTAGAATTTGGAGTTGTTTTTCCCATTGCTATTTCTCTTTGTTTTATATCCACTATTATATTGGTAATTGTATCCTTAGCGTGTTCTAAATCTGAATATATATCTTTTTGTTTTTCATTACCTTGATATTCTAATATTGATTTTAATTATTTATTATTGTCTTCTAATATATTTATTAGATTTCCTTGATATTCATCTATTTTTTTCCTAATTTTTCTAGTTTTATCGAAATATTTTCAGTAGCCATAATTTTGTCTATAAGGTGGATATTAGTTCAGCCATTTTAGATACGAGTTAGTATCTGCTAACAAAAGGGCTTGTTAGCATTTTAACTTTTGCGGGATCCTCCTGGTAATAGGTGGATGGAGTCTTTTAAGGGGTTGATCGATACTCTAGCTGAAGAAAAGGAGGTGCGATCGGATTGGCAGGAGAATAAAGAAGATTGGTGGACTTATTCAATGCAAGGGCAACCAAGGTGGGATGCTGTGAGTTACGTTGTCGGAGAAGCGCCTATAGAAGCTGAAGAATTGGATGATGAGAGCTTCTTCTGGCCGCCGCAACGTAATTCGAAGTATCGCAAGGGGCATCGTCAAACACTCATTTTCGAAGTATCGCAATGGAGACCAAGAACAACAACAAGACCAGAAAGTAAGCACTTACGCCAATAATGATGAGAACCGTCGCTGTGTGCGTCAATGGCTTTGCCGCTTTGCGCCTTTGCCTAAACACCACTTGGAAAATGGCAGATGGATGATGTGATTCATGACAATACATCATTTGGGCCCCAAATCCCCCACCTAAAGGCAGCAGCAGCATCAAATGCATGGATTTTAAAATGCAGCAGCAAGTCTGTAGACAACAAACCTCGTCTCTCAGTCCTTTCTCAAATCTCTCTCAGTCCGATCTCATGTCGCCGGCGAAGGGAGCAGTGTGCGTGACTGGCGCCGGAGGTTTTTTGGGCTCCTGGGTTGCTCATATCCTCCTCTCCAGAAACTATCTAGTCCGCGGCACCGTCAGAGACCCCAGTAAGTCTATTTCCACAGACAGAAATAGTACTACCTCTCCAAGACAGAAGCTGAGACCAAGGCAATGGAGTATGCGAAAGCCAACGGACTTGATGTAGTAAGTGTCTGCCCAAATCTCATCATCGGGCCACTTCTGAAGCCTACGGTGAACGCAAGCACCATGGTTCTCGCCAAGCTTTTGAAAGGTAGCCAACCATTACTATCATGTGAGCGATTATATGTATATGTTTACATCCACTACATAGATATTGCCCGCTCACTTGCGCATCGCGGTGAGTTGAAGATAGAACGGTAAATGTGTCGTTATTAAATAATTAGTAAAATATAACTTGTGCGGTAGAACTCCAAAAACTCAAGAAAAATCACTAAGATTTTGAAGGAGAGGTTCGTAGTAATACGCACTTGTTGTCCAATGAACTTAGAGGACACCGATCAACATATTTAGATCTTGACAAATGTTACTAAGAGTATTTACGAAGTTCATGCTTTTCAATTAAAAAAGAGAGAGAAAAAGATGAAATAATGTAGCACCTCGTTCCCTTGTTTTCGATGTCAGTTTCACCATCTTAATGGATAGCGAAAAAAGGTGAGTAAGAATGTAAAACCGAATCCAAATATAAAGTATGCATAGTGACGGATAACTCATATTATAGATTTCTCCGTCATTTTCCTATTTGAGCTTGAGCTCGAGAGAAAGATGACTAAGGACCTAAATCCAAATACGAACAAATCGATCAATGAGATTGAACTCGAACGATATGATTAAAGACGTAAAACCAGCAACAAACACAAATAGATCGATTTGTTCATCGTAATAATAAAAAATACACATAAGAATGCAAACAGAATCCAAATAAACTTATAACCCATATTAGAGATTTCTCCGTCATTTTCCTATTTGAGCTCGAGCTCGAGAGAGAGATGACAAAGAACGTAAACCCAAATACGAACAAATAGATCGATGAGATTTAACTCGAGTGAGATGACTAAAGACGCAAAATCAAATAAGAACACAAATAGATCAATTTGAGCATCACACCAACATTTTTTTTTATCATAGATAGTTCGTAATAGATGGAGTATTACAATGCACGGGAAAATAAATAGATCAATTTGAGCATCACAACAACAAAAAATACACATATTTAAAAATGAAATAATTGAAAAAGTGATGTACCCTCATAACTTATTGTGCTTCTTTTTTCTCCTTGTTTGTTTTCCAATGGTAAGAGCAAGAGGTATGAAAAAGAGGAGAAAACTCAGAAAAAGGTAGGAAAAAGATGGAGTAAAGTGGGTGGAACCCACCTTATGTATTATTGGCCCCCCCAAAGTTGTGTATAATTATGATCAAATAAATCGATGAGAGTGAAATCGAGCGAGATGACTAAAGACGTAAAATCAAATACGAACACAAATAGATCGATTCAAGCAACACAACAACGACAACAACAAAAAATACACATATTTAGAAAAGAAATAATTGAAAAAGAGATGTAACCTCATAACTTACTATTTTTCTTTTTTCTCTTTGTTTGTTTTCCAATGGTAAGAGCAAGAAAAGCTAGGAAAAAGAGGGAGGAAAGTGGGTGGGACTCACCTTATGTATTATTGCCCCCCCCCCCCTCCCAAAGTTGTGTATGATTACAATGAAATAGATCGATAAGATTGAAATCGAGTGAGATGACTAATAACATAAAATCAAATACGAACGCAATTAGATCTATTTGAGCATCACAACAACAAAAAATACACATATTTAGAGAAGACATAATTGAAAAAGAGATGTACCCTCATAACTTACTGTTTTTTTTTCTTTGTTTGTTTTCCAATGGTAAGAGCAAGAGGTATGGTAAGAGGGAGAAAATATAGGAAAAAGAGGGAGTAAAGTGGGGGGGGGGTCTCACCTTATGTATTATTGGCCCCCAAAGTTGAGTATAATTACGATATATTAGATTGATGAGATTGAACTCGAGCCAGATGAGATGACTAAAGACGTAAAATCAAAATACGAACACAAATTTATCGATTTGAGCATCACAACAATAAAAAATACACATATTTAGAAAATAAATAATTGAAAAAGTAATGTACCATCGTAACTTATTGTTCTTCTTTTTTCTCTTTGTTTTTTGTTTTCCAATAGTAAGCAAGAGGTATGGAAACAAGTAAGAAAAGGTAGGAAAAAGAGAGAGTAAAGTGGGTGGGACCCACCTTATGTATTATTGGCCCCAAAATTGTGTATAATTACGAAACAACCAATTAATCAACAGTAAATTTAGAACTTTCCTTTTTATATTAGAAAAAATGTAGTTGAATTGCTTCCAAAGTTGGTTAATGGGTTTTGATGTTTGCATTGGGCTATGATAGCGTCTCATTCCCTAATTATATTTGTTGCCGTATGCAGAAGGGAAGGACTTGGAGGAGAATAAGCATCATCGAGTGGTGGATGTGCGGGATGTAGCAGAAGCGTTGGTTTTGGTGTATGAGAAGCTTGAGGCGCAAGGGAGATACATATGTACAGCACATTCTATCCATGTTAAGGAGGTGGTTCACATCTTGAAAGAGAGGTATCCCAACTACAATTATCCTAAGAAGTAAGCCCTTTATAGCCATACTCTTTACTTTACTTTACTTTACTTTACTTTATTTCGATTCATTATGCATGGAACTATCCTATACTATATATAACAAGCTGGGATGTCCGAGCTGGTCTGAAGCGCCAGATTAAGGCTTCTCATCCAGAAGGGAAGAGATGTTCACATTTTTATTTATGGGTGGCAGCTTCACAGAGGAAGAGGAGAAGAAAGAAATGAGCTCAGAAAGGTTACAGAGGCTAGGTTGGAGCTACCGTTCACTAGAGGAAACTCTGGTGGATTTTGTAGAGAGCTATAAGAAGGCTAGCTTATTGGAGTAGAACTGAATCATTCTATTTATTGGTGAATCCACTTCTATGAACCAAATAAAGGTGTTGCTTGTTGTTGTGGGAGTTAGCGGGGATATTGCGTTTGTTTGTATGCATCATTAATAAGTATTCAGGTTGTTGTAGCCTACTATAAAGGCAGAGAATTTGGTGCTGCATCATGGATGGTGTTTTGTGGACTAATAAAAAATAGACGTCTTTTGTCTGTTGAGGATGGATTGCATTGAAGAAGACGATATTAGTGAGTGGCATTTTGTCGGGTATGATATTTATAAACCCGTTGTAAACCTCCAATTAAACTCGGTGATGTATTCTGAGAATGTACGTATCGTGGGTAATATAATGTTTTTTTTTGGAAAAGTATGAACACATAATGTATGCTTTGATATTTCGTGCATCTCAATATTATAGTGAGATTTTGTATTCATGTTCACTGAACTTCATAGAATCAATGAGCAGCAAGTGAGTGATTCTTTCATTTTATCTCAAAATTTCAACGACAAAGCAATACTATAATGCTTTGCTTAACCTTTTCGATAATAAAAAAACCCTATTACGTCTTGCAATAATCAACTAGATCGGTAGTCCAGTATAAGAGGCTCACGACACACTTTCGAGCTCGGATCGATCGAGAATGGACAATGGAGGCTTAATGCACAAATTTAGAGAATTGGGCTTTGAGCTCATGTATATGTGCATTGAGCTTCCAATTTGGTCTCACTCTTAGCTTGGGCCAAGAGAAGGACTTTGAGTCTTTCACCTCTGGTTTGCTGTCGTTTGGGTGCGGGATTTGGTTTCGAGGAATTTGCCTTCAAATCTCTCATCCAAAAAGTAAATTATGATTTAAGATTAAAGAAATATTGCTCTTTAAAATTTATAGGGGAAATGTTAGAAACCTTCTATAAATGGTGATGTGGTAGGTTATGCATGGTTATTAACCATGAGATTATTGATCGAAACTACTCCCATTGTTGAACATCTCCAATCAATTGAACTGTGCCAATTTAACAATCTTAGTAATTGGGCCGTATATCACTCTGCCTCATGTTCAGTGAGCTTGAGGAATCTACTGTGTAGGATTTTTTTATGGAATACTGTGTAGGAATTACTTGGATGTATTCATCATCTATAATGAAAAATTAATTTATGTATAAGAAAACAATGGACGAATAGTAAATACTCGACACTCGAACTTTTTATTTTTCAATAAGGGAGATCAAATGCAGGTTTCTTGTAGAAATCAAAGAAATTGTACCTCTCTCCATTTGTAGTCTTCTTAATAGAAATAAAAGTACAAAAAATAACTATGTAAAAATTATATAAAAAAGTATGTAGTCTATGCACATGAATAGTTGTAGAAGGTTATTTAAAAGGTTTTAAATATATTACCTTTAAGTTATGGCTTATCTTATTGATAAAGTTAATTAACAACTAGTTACTATGCTATATAACATCTTCGAGTGAAAAAACTTGAACAAATATCAAATTTCATACCGATCAAATACGCATTTGACAATATATCTAATGGTAACAAAAATGTGTTGTTGGTAAAATTTGAAAGTAAGTTTATTTTAACAAGAATGGATTAACGGAATGAAGCCACTTGATGTTTTCCTTTCTAAATAAGACCTAGAGAGTAACATACATGGAGAGACTCACTACAAGGGTTGTGTTTCCATTAATCCATTATGCATATGATCAATCTAACTAGTTGTAACACCCTACCCTATACGTTTTGCCTAATCATATTGTTCATACAATTGCAGCGGAATTAATCTCGGGTGTTACACTAATTATCAAAATTTACCCAAATAAAATTTCGACATGAATTACTCGCGTAATGGGCTAACAGTTCTTCCATCTAATCCTACAAAATAATTCATCACAAACATATATACTCACAACCATATGCATTGGCTTTTCATAGCCATAGTCACAGTTTCCTACTACACAACTGCATACTATACTGATACATGCTATAATCATCACAACTTACATAATTACACAATATACACATATCATCAACTTTTCACACCTGTGGATATCTCACACTACATCAGAAGCTAGTATGCACATGAAAAACGTTCTCAAAACATTTTTACAAAAAGGTGCGGATCACTGGCCAAAATCCCGAGTAGTAGTCCAAGCACAGAATAGTTGAAGACCATACCTCATCCTGGCTTCAACTCTAGCTCCTCTCCCACCTAACACTTATCTACTGCTGCTACTGATAATCTGCTTACACATAGCATAAGCAGAGAAGAAGAATAAAAGAGGGTCAGCTCATGGCTGAGTGAGACAATCATAGCATCGTGAGTTCATAACATAGCATACCCCTATCATACATCTAACAATCAAGCCAAAACACTAGGATCGAACCTCAGCCATCCTCACGTCTCAATGGGCAAAAGACTCAACCACCTTGACTTATGCATATGCGTCTTATCATGTTTTACTTATAGGCGCCTGGCTACTCCCATGCTAATTACTCTCCCGGGAATACGGACCAAACATCTCGTGGATGTGGTCATATCGGACCCACCACTGCCGGTGTAGTCATATCGGACCTGACACCACGATGGGTGTGGTCATATCGGACTCAACACCACTCTGGGTGTGGTCATATCTCATGATGAATCAACGGTCAACACCACATCAGGGGTGTGACATAACATATCATAACGGAGTAATAGCATGGGGAGCCCTAATTACTATGTAATTGACCATGAGACCAAATCACTCTTACTTGATGTCCTTATACATGATCCATATCTCATCTTGCTTAATCATAATTCGTTACTTACACATGTACTTGACCCGGCCACAATTGGCTCAACATAGGTAAATCAGGAGTCGCATAATTGCACATCCTCGGGATAAACCCTCGTGCAAGTCATCCTCCTTAAACATCATAATATCACCTTGGGAAGTTTATTCCCCCACTTATGGACCCAAATACAACCATAATATCACCTCATGTCAAAACACCTTATCGAACAACCAGGAAGTCATATCAACAGTTAAGCCACAAATGGCAACATGTATGCAATCATCAACATAAACAAGGTCCATATCGGCTAGGGCAAGTCAATAATATCATACAGCAATCCAGGGTTCAACATATAGCACAAAAGTTCATACACCCCTAATCATGCCATTCTAGTTCACCTAGGTCAATTCTAAGCATAAGTATAATTATCGTGATACGACAAACCCGGTATGCCGTGCTAATCCCTCACCAGTTCTGGTCGTTCAAACACCGGTTCTAGCCTCCCGTACTAAAACGTCAATTTCACGAACGAACCCCGAATTAAAATCCGAGACCGCCCTAATATCCCCTGCAGTATCCCCGTCAATATTAGTTCTAGGCTCCGGGTCAAATTCTCGATAAAAACACATCAAACCCTGGCCGGAGCTAAATTTAGCGGTTTGGACCCCGACCTAAATAGTTGCCGAAATTCAGGGATTAGAACTAGAGGATTGATTACCTCGCTGCAGGAAGCTCGTATATGAAATTTGGGCTCAATCCGGCTTCCGGATACTCCGAAACCCTAACTTGGCTTATCGGGAATTCAAGAAATTCCTGAACCAAAAACTCGTTTTAAAGCTCTAAATCGATAAATCACGATGTATAGATGAATTAGGCATTACTTACGGGATTTTTGGATCACTGTAGCTCAAGAATTGAGCTTGGGAATTTTCTCTGCTCACCTGCCCTGCGCGCGCCCTCTGCTCGGGTTTTCTCTCGGTGCAAATAAATGGAAAAGAAAGAACAGAATGAAATGGGGAAAGATGACCGGGGAGGAAGAGTTATATATATGTGACCGAGTGATTTGATTATATATATATATATATATATATATATATAATTAATACGTATACTTATCTGATCGATTGATATTTCGATTTTCGTCGAAATACTGTCAAAATACTCGATTTTAAATCGTGAACTTTTTAGCGATCGAAATAAGAGTTTTGTCGAAATGGGATGTTACAATTCTCCCCTCCTTAAAAAGATTTCGTCCCCGAAATCTAACCTTGAGTTGTACCCCTTAGTCCGCTTACTTACCCTTGACATGGTCTATCGTAAATAAACCATTATCTAACTCTTAGGTTAGGTGATTCATAGCATAGAAGGTAACACATAACAGCTCAAGTTCCCAATATAAGGTTTCAAAAACAATACTGGGTTATCACAACATAAGCACATCAACAAGTTCCAAACATAACTTACTAAGCAAGATTGGTAACCTAGAAAATGTTAGCCACCCCAACATCAAGAATCATATCCATATTAAAAACTCTACCACAACAACTCGTCATGTTAGCATAGTCGAAGATCAACTGCATTGCATAGCTAGCCACCATGCTTCTCGATCGGTTAGTAGTGACACCTAAAATACTTCTGTGCAAACTACAAGGAAACATTGGCCTTAGTTTGATCCACACACCATTAAAACTTTCTCCAAAATAAAAACTTGGAAAACAAAAATAAAAACTACATATTTTTGGAAGTCTTTTAAACCATAACATTTTCAAGATGACTTCCAATACTCAAAATAATTTTTGACCATATGCAACTGACTATGCAACATATCATCACCTTTAGTCTCAATCCTGGCAAGTTTAGTGCAAATACAGGTATGGAGTACTTCCTGCCCATTTGAGGGTGATCAGTCCTCAAGAGTGAAAGTAACATACCCATAATGCAGAAAACAAACCAGCTCTGATACCAAGTTGTAACACCCTACCCTATACGTTTTGCCTAATCATATTGGTCGTACAATTGCAGCGGAATTTATCTCGGGTGTTACACAAATTATCAAAACTTATCCAAATAAAATTTCGACATGAATTACTCGCGTAATGGGCTAACAGTTCTTCCATCTAATCCTACAAAATAATTCATCACAAACATATATACTCACAACCATATGCATTGGCTTTTCATAGCCATAGTCACAGTTTCCTACTACACAACTGCATACTATACT